CCCTTGAAAACCCAGCCCTAATACTCTTTTTTGCTGAACACCACAAAATAAAATTATATTTAATAACATTTCAAGATCTTCAAAATTATTTTCTCTTATTAATCCAAACAATATCTAAAATACACACAAATATTATTTTAGTTTTCAAATTCTTGTTGCAAATTATTTTTTCAAATCTTCAAACATAAATTAACTACTAAAGTACAAGTTATTTCTTCTTAAAATACAAATAAAAATATAGTATTTAAAGATTATTCTACTAAAGCATTTTTCAAAATTAAATAAAATCATAGACTTAAATATTACAAAACATTGTCGCTTTAAAAAAACATGTTTTAGTAACACTGCATTCTCGGTGTGTGAATTACCACATTAGACTATAACAACATTAGTTTAATTCCATATGTTGTAACAATTAATTTCATAAGCAGGGGCGGAACCAGGATCAAAATATAGGGGGGCTAACTAAAATTTCAGGGCAGCGCCTCGAAAAAAAATTTAGGTTCACAAGACTCAGCAAAAATAAGTTTATACTGATATTTTTTAATTAAAATAGCATATATATTATAGTTTTCTCATATTTTAAGCATGACAAAAAAATCTTAATGTATTGCACTTAAATATTTTGGAAATTAATGGCATCGTCTCATATTATTTTGAAGAGACACCGATAAAAAAATTCCAAAATAAGTAAGTATTCATAAATATTATATAAAAAAAATACAAATTTTAACCATTTTGTTAAATATTTTTATATTAAATATGATATATATACAAGTATAATTTATATAAGATTATGGAGAAGAAACAAAAAAATTAAGAGTTAAGACACATATTTACAAAAACTTTAGGGAGGCCAAAAGTAATAATAAAAAATACAATGTCAAAATACCTAAAAAAATGTGGTTTGGGAAAAATAAAATTTTACAGGAGAAATTTACAAAACCAAAAAATTATTATCAATTTCCAACAAAAAATATTAGCAACAAATTTTACATGAAAAGAAACAGAATTAATTTCGTAACATACATTTATACATAATTATTTGTTGATTTGTTTCCCATAAGTTCTAGTAAATATTATTAAATAGAATTTTAGTTCAATATATTTTGTAGAGAAAAAAGTGGCATTTGGGCTGAGTTTCATTTTAGTCCCTAGGTTTTAAAAGGGTAATATGGGTATTTTGGGAGAAAAAATGAATTTTAGCCGTGAAATTATGTTCCAGGGATGACATTGAACCCAATTAAAACCAAAGGGATGAATTTGATTTTGACTGCAAATGTCAGGGACTCAAATGAATTTTATCCTAAAAATGCTTGGTTGGGGAATTATGCACAAAAATCACAATAAAATAATTGAGCCAAAGTATAATTTAAAAGGGAAGGCCATTTGGATGTACCCTCTCTCTCTCTCCACACACACACAATTGAGAGACTTATTTTTTTAATTAACTTTTTTTATAATTAATTTTTTTATTATTTTATGAACATCTATAAGAAATCGGAACATATAGCAAGCCCAACTATGCTCCAAGTCCGAAAAATAGCAGCCGAAGAACCCTTTGTCAGTTTATGGCAACTCCCAACGAGACACCCCAAATTGAAAGCCCCAAACACTTATTTGGGGATTGCTAGAGTGTTTTGGGGCTTCACAAAAAGGTTTTCGCTCCAATGGCAAATATTAAATTTGGGCTTCATTTTCAAATGTAAGTAAATTTAATTTGATCTATTTAGATAAAATTTAAATGAAAACTAACTATATTTTGTTAGAAATAAATAAATCAATAAATATATTTTTAACTCGTTCTCCCCAATCTTTTCTCTTTTTCAACCTCTTTTCTATCATCTTTCTTTCACTGTTTTTTTCGTATATCGGTTAAATTTATCAACATTCGATGTATAGCACCAACCCCAAAAAACCATCAAGCAACCAATATTAAATTTTGCAGTAGTTGAAAATGAAACATTCGAAAACTTGGGACGACAGAAACCAGAGACTAATAATGATAATACTATGAAGTAGAAAGTTTGTAGTAACAATTCCACATAAAACATTCTTACAAAACATTGAAGTTGTAATGACTCATACTTCCATGATTGATTATAATTATTTGAAGGCGATTATAATTATTTGAAGGCTCGCACTAAAAAGTGTTTGTGATAATAAATTATTTGCAGTACATAAAACAATAATTCTTTCCCCTAATTAAAAATCCAAACCTGAGTACTCGCCGTATAATATAATGTCTCTATTCGATCACCGCCAGCAAATCACCATCTTTGCAGAAACAATACCTTGAATCTTTGAAGATTGGTATTTTTTGGAGGATAAGGAATTAATTGCAGAGTTCTAAAGAAATTATTATTGGATTTTTCTTCAAGGCAAAAACACGTACATTTCTTTCTCTTATTAAAATAAGATGGTAACGAGAAAATAAGAACGGATAAAAATAGGATAATTCAATAACTTTACCTCTGCCAAATTCATGTGTAAATTATGTGTAGATGAAGTGCAAATACGTGCATATCACGTAAAAATTACGTGCAAATCTCGTGCATATTATGTGATTATGTAATTATACGTGCATCCCTACTTATTTTATAAGTGAGAATTTTCAAGAATAAATAATGATTCAAAACAAAATGAAGATGATAGTCTTCCGTATTAATTCGTTGATATTTGATATGGGGACATAATGTGACATGCAGAAATACTATGCACTTATAAAATGTTAATTATGTTGGAATATAGGATTAAATGTCATTTCTCTTAATATATTAGTATCAGTATTAGTATTACTATTAGTATCAGTATTAGTATCAGTGTCAGTATGAGTAATAGTATGAGTATCAATATTGGTATTGTTGGCGCCAGATTTCTACCGATGAAGAAATCCGCTACATTTGGGAAGTAAAGATTGGCAAAGATTTGTTCCCATGTTTATTTTGGAAATTTAGAGTCCTACATTTGTAATACTTTAGGACTTAGATTTATTTCCTTGTACTTTACTCTTGTTAGATATTGATTAAGATTTTGTTTCCTAGTTATTCGGTTCCTTTGGAAGACAGGTCTTTGGAGGCCGACCTCATGCCTATATAAGGTTCCTCGCCTCACAAAGACCGTGACACTTTTGTTGGGAGAAAAATTACTCCATAACTTTGAAGAATCGCTGAAACGTTCTGCTGAACATAACTGTGCCATCGTTGGATGTGTCAACTTATACATATCTGCTGTATAGATCTCTCGAGAGATCAACCGCGTTACTGAAGGGAGTTCAGGCCAGAAAGGAGTTCTAGGCACGCGGTGTGGAGCTGCTGTTGGAAGAGACACGGAGTTCGAGTTGTGTACAAGAACGGCATATTACATAAAGAGGGAGTCTTTAGTGTTTTTATTAAGTCCTATTAATGTACACTATAAATTTGAACTAGTGATGTAGGGCACAATTGTGTCTGAACCACATTAATTCTTGTGTTATGTTTATTTGCTTTAGTAGAGTATAACTGTGTTAACACAAGAATTACAGTTGTAACTAAAATCTTGTTTCAACCAAACAAACTGTTACAACTTGGAATTACTGAATTTATAGGCATATAAATCAACAGGTATCTATATGAGTATCAATGTTCGTAATAGTATTAGTATCGGTATTAGTATGAACATAAATATGAGTATCAAAATGATTATCAGTATTAGTATTAGTAGTAGTATGAATATAGTATCAATATCAGTAGTATTAGTATGTGTATCAGTATCAGTATCAGTATTAGTATCAATATGAATGGCAGTAGTAGAATCAATATGAGTATCTATATGATTATAGTATTAGTATCAATTTTAGTATCGATAATAGTATTTATTTGAGTAGCAGTATCAATATCAATATTCGTATGAGTATCAATATGTGCATCACTATTAGTATCAGTATCAGTATCAATATCAATATTAGTATCACAATGAGTATCAATATTAATATCAATTTAAGTATGAGTATTAGTATGATTATGAGTATTAGTATCAGTATCAGTATAAATATGAGTATCAGTATTAGTACGAGTGTCAATATATAAGTATGAGTATTAATATTAGTATCGGTATGAATATCAATATAATTAGTATCAGTATTTATATCAGTATCGATGTATTAGTATCAATATCACTATCAATATTGATGTATTAGTATCAATATAATTATCAGTATTAATATCAATATAATTATCAATATTAATATCAATATTAATATCAGTATTGGTATTAGTATCGATGTATTAGTATCAATATCGAAGTATTAGTATCAATATCAATATCAATTTCAGTATCAGTATGAGTATGAGTATCAATATTAGTATCAGTATTAATATTAGTATTTGTATTAGTATTAATATTAATATCAGTATGTATGAGTATATCAGTATTACAATCAGTATTAGTATGAGTATCAGTATGAGTATTCGTATTAATGTCAGTATTAATGTAAGTATTGATATCAATATCAGTATCAGTATCAGTATCAATATCAATATCATTTTCAATGTAAGTATTAGTATAAGTACGAGTACCAATATCAATATCAGTATCAATATCGGTATTAGTATCAATATCAGTATTAGAATCAATATCAATATTAGTGTTAGTATTAGTATTAACATTATTATCAGTATGCGTATATGTATTATTACCATTATCAGTATGAGTATATGTATTAGTATAAGTATCGATATCAGTTTGAGTATCAGTATTAGTATCAATATCAATATAAGTATTAATATCAGTATTATAACTATGTTTCATATTAAGGACTTGAGTGTGTAGATCGAAATAGTTGTAACATTTTTATCCGATGATATATCATATTTTTAATATCACATGTTCCATATTTTTTATTTTGTCATATTATGTATATCAAATATTGAAAGTTTTTAGTAAATTATTTTATTTGAAATGTTTTTCTATCATCGCACTGAAGTACTAGTGTTAAATTGCTAATGCAAAAGAGGAGTACATCCTTGTGAAACAGACAATTAGTGTTATATTTTCTTGCAATAATGACACCTTTAATTGAAATATTCATATAGTTACATAGTTCCTATGAATACATGTAATAACAGTACAAATGATCTACAAGACCATCACAGTTTGTTTTCCCTTTAGTGATATAATTAAAGAAAAATTGAACTATTCTGATATTACTTATTCCTTAAGCTTCAATCTCCTGGAAATAAAACACGACGACCACAGTACAAGGGGCTGTATTATTTACCTTTAATGTCAGGCTTCTTCATCTTCTTGAGAGAATCAAACAGAGACGAATTTTCTTGGTTGCTTGATGACTTGGCAAACGGGTTTGACGGGCGGGTAGGATTTATTTGATTCACCTTTGTCACCTTCTTAGTTTCTACTACACTGGTTGTTTTTTCTGATGCCACAATATGATTTTGTTCGTTTTTTCCATTTCCTTCGTCGGCCTTTTGTTTTCTTATGGAGGAAGTGGATGGGAATGTGTGCATTGGAGGTGCACTAACACCTTGCGATGTTTTACTGATATCTGGTGCACTGCTGACATCATGTTTGGTCGAAACATTACACATGGAACTGCTATTTGGTAGTGCCGTTTTCCCGACTGTTTCACTGAGCATTTTTTCCTATGATGTTGCAAGTGAGAGAACAAAAAGAAAATGAAAAATTAGAAGAAAAGTAGATATTGCCGCTTTGGAAGAGACCATAGCTGGAGATTAAAATCTCACCTCGAGTATGTTATTGAAGCGCTCAGCCAAATTTGGTAGCTTTAATGCCGTCACGAGTTTTATGGCTCCTCTAACTGATTTCTCTAGTGTGAGGAGTTTTCCAAGTTCAGTTGCTCTCACAAGTTTGTCCCCTGCATAAAAAAAGGAATGATAGGTTGAATAAGTCGTATGCTTTAATCACGTTACTAACAACAGAAAATGCAAGCAAAAAAAAAGGGAAAATGACAGCATTGTCACAAAAATAATTACCGTTGCAGCAGGATGCAATGAGCCTCAAGATGCATCTATCTAATGAAGCTTCGAGATTGAAGGACTCGTCATCAAGCGAGGTGGTATCAAGTCCAGAAGCTGCTCTTTCTTCTATACTTCTCTGAATCTGAATATATTGACAACGGTTATTAGCAAGAATCCATTAAGGCTGCGTTTGGATTGAAGTATTTGAAATGTGGAGGATTTGAAATGAACTCCAAATGGGAAGATATTTCAAATCTACCACAATTGCTCGAAAAATATTCAAAAATGAGAGTTATGGATTTGAAATTCCTCCCTCAAATCCTTCCATCCAAATACTCCCTAAAACATAATATAGAAAGAAGCAAACTTGCCTGGGAGAGATGCATGTTGCTCATCATAAATTCATTTTCGAGGGTATCTGCACCGAGGTCAGAAGAAGCAAGCGGGAATGACAGGTCTAGCAAGGTCAAGATTGGCTTGGGAGTGGACTGAAAAGGCCATCATTGAAGATAAAGGTTCTCAGTAGTGGATAAAAACGATATAGTTAGATATAAAAACAACTTCCGTGAATGGAAACACATACCTGTGGAAATAATTCAGGAGACTTGCACACAACGCAAAATAACTTGCTTGCATTCAATCCAGCAACCCAATAATTTTCCTCGGAGTTCTTTAGTTTGCTAGCACTGGCGATTGGGAGTTCGGATGAATTATTAGCAAAAGGGCCGTTATAAAAAAGTGTGGGCGCAGACTATAATTAGAATATATATATAGTACCTGAAGAGTGGGAGCCAACTACCCCCATATTGACTTGTAAACACCCTCAAGACACCCTAATAAATATCACTTCAGTACTCTAGATGAGCGTATATAAGACGATATCTTTAAAGAATTCGAATTGAATTAAAGGATGTGCACCTTCGAATCAAAAGAACTTAGTTGACCTTCTTCACTGAAACCAAACCATGTCAAAGATGACCCGGGAGTGAGCGGAAGTCTTCCCCTGAGGGATTGTGTCCCATGAGAAATGTTGAACACTCTAAATTCGAGCATCTGCAAGGAGGAAATGTCTTATTACAATTTCAATACGAATCCATTCACCTGATTTCGTACAGAATTGTTCTATTCATACATAATAGACAGGCGCTTATTAATGTTGAAGTAATGACAAACGGGACATTATATCTAGAGTTGTATCAGACTTTCAGCTTAAATTTAAATGTTGTACAATTGTTAGCTGAAAAAAATCCTTAATTTTGAGACCCAGTTTATGCTCTATATTCTAAAAAAAATTACCCTATTAGCAGTTTCTGCCAGATTACTGAAGTCATTCATAAACTAATACATGATGTTCATCGAAAAGACAATGAAAAGAATATTGCAAGACTACCTGCTCGTCTGTGGGCAGAGGAGGAGAAAGGTGGGTGACAACTGCGAGTTCGTCATTGTGGCCAGCTGCAGTAACCACTGGCCCATCAAGAGAGAGAATGTACCTCTGCCATGATATTATAATTTAGATTCTTTAGTTGAACTTAGTATGCAAAAATACAGAAAACACAAGGGCTTGTTAATAGTATCAGTTTCACGTCAAAGCCCCAATCAAAAGATTAATTAAGTGAAAGGGACAGCACTTTTTCAATGACACGATAAACTAATCAATAAATAACAGTCTCTTACAAACCTGCAGACCACCTTCAGTGAAGATACGAAGAAAATTAAGGCTGGTAACAGCAGCAACCCAAGCATTTCCAAGTGCTATTGCTCTAACTTCTTCGCCTTCAAATCGCATAGACCACTAAATTTGCACAAGGAAGTGAACATCAGCTATATTTAACCGAGCATAACAAATTTATTTATCAGAAGGTCCAATGAAAACTCAAATGCTGTCCATTCATGATGGTTCTTGCAAGAGATAACTTTCCATACAAACAAAAAGTGCAAAGGTCTTACCTCACTGTTATTCGCCCAGCTACTAAAGGGACGATACATAAGTGTGCTCATATTCTTCTCGCCTTTGCATGGATTTGCAAATACACTCCCGTTTTCATTTAAAGAAGCCATTGTGAAACCGAAATAGTCAGTCATTGCAGGAACACGTGGACCACTGCTGGTATCATGGAAATCTATCTGCAGTTTAATCATTTATTTGGTAATTTGTCAAGGAATCATATTTAAATATTATTTTAGTGGTAAAGCAAGCATGTAGCGAAATAGTTATGGTTTAAGAGAAAATCGAAACTAACCATCAGAAGAAAGAATACAAGGATAAATGGATACCTCTATATGTGAATATCCATCATGTTCCATTTTGGTTATACTTCCGAGCATATTGTAGCACAGAAAACGCCTCTTTCCAGGTTCTGCGGGAGTAGCTCCTGCCTGAAAAGCTTCTTGTATTTTTGGTCCAGCAGTTACCATCATATTTCTTGATCCCGTTTTGCTGTTAAGATTCTCCTTGTGACCATAAGAAGCCTTTTTACGAGATTCAACTTTTGGAATAGATTCCAGCTCATCATTACAATCTTCTTCCCAGTCATCACTATAATTAGAGTGCTTACGTAGTCTTTTTCTGCTAGGTGTCTCCAATTCGCCATGGTTATCTTCATTAAGATCACTCAAATTACCTGATACACTAGGTGCTTCATCTTCGTCAAACAAGAGAAACCCATTGCCATTTTTCGAACTTAAACCAGGAATATCTTCAGTTGGAGATTTCATTGTCGATGGTACAGCAGATTCCCACACGCCATACTTCCCCGTAACATCAATAACTGCAAGTGCATTGCCAAGAGGTTTCCATGCCACACAAGATACGCATTCACTAAATTTCTGCCTGTCAATGTCCTGCTTCTTGGCAACATCCCAAATAAGAACCTGTCTGTCTAAACCAGACGTAGCCATATATTTCCCATTAGGCGACCAAGATAAGAAGCAAATAGGTTCAAAATGATCCCCTCTAAGGGTAAACAGCTTTTCGGCAGTGTCTCTGTCATACATTACCACATCATTTTTCAGACCAGGTACTGCTAACATTTCTCCGTCTGGACTCCACGCAAGTATGTTCATCACCGTAACATCGGAGCCATTGTTAGGAGCTATACCTTTTAGGACATGAACTGTATTTCCAGACTGCAGTTCCCAGAAAATAACAGTCCCAAACGAATCAAGTGAAGCCATGTATTCACTTTTGGGATCGAAAGCTAAGCTAGTGACAGATCCTTTATGCCCTTTAAGAACTCTCGCAATGGTTCCGTCAATTGTATTGACAAGTTTGATGCCCTCATCATCACCAGCGGCAGCCAAAATGGTACCAGACTTATTGAAAGTAACAGTGCGGATTGGCAATGTGAATCTGGTGATATTTGTCTCAAAATCTCCACCTGAAGAAAGATAATTAAATTTTCTATTAGTACTACTTACAATCTGGAGTATCTATGGTGACTAAAACTTTTAAAAGTGTGATAGTTAATCTAAATTCACAGACAAATAATTGGAACACAGAAGTTTCGATTTATTTCTTCACTTAGAAAATGAATTAGTGAGCCAATGAATTAACATCAACCCCATATATAGGCAAATTCGAAGAAACGAAGTTGATTAGCAATTTGAGACTTCCAATACAATAAATAAACATTTTATGTGCATGTTTATTTTGCCAAAGAAGTGATAGATTGAGCTACTGGGAATGGTATGAAGATCAGCCACAACAATCTAAAGATTGAGCAATTTTACACAAACAAGCAATCATCCAATAAGCAGTTAAAGTTCAGTGGCACCACTGGGTTCACCGCAAAAACATTTCGTATTACCTCTGCAGATGAAGATAAGTTCATCGAGTGCAGCCATGATATCAACAATATAAAGTTCATTCCAACGGTGCCCTTTATTGAATTTCTTTTACATTGAGCTTCTAATTTGTTGCAACAGTCAATTTTCCAAAATCTCATACTACTTACTAACATGTCCAATTTCAGATATTGCTGTAATTTGATATCCTTCAACCTAAGCAAACGAACTGCAAACATACTTTACCAATTTGAAAACATAGCAGAATTGAGGTTAAAATGAAGATAAAATGGCACATCCCAGTATATATCTTATACATAAAATCAACTTTGAGCCTCAGATTCCCAAAATTGCAAAGAAAGGAAAAAAAAAACTTTATCACTTCGAATTGTATAAAACCCTAAATTAACACCAAAAAAATTACAAGCGTAGCAGTAAAAATCCATAGACTCAGTTGCAGATGGGTTATCTTATCTTAAATAAAGAGAGGAGAAGAAAATACCAGGAAATTTATAGAGCTTGACAGAATGGTCAATGGAACCAGAAGCAAGGCAGGTGGAATTAGGGCTGAGGGCCAACGCCGTAACACCCTCGCGGTGGTTGCGAAGAAACTTAGGCGCGTTAGACTGGAAAACGGCGTCGTGGATGGAAATTGAATTGTCAGAAGAGGACGCCGTAACAATGTGGTCGGCGTTCGAATCCCACAAAATGGAGCACAATGAGCTCTCTCCATTTTCGCCGCTCTTGTGGGCTTCTCGGAGCTTCATCGTTCGGATCTTCATTTTTGTTTTCGTGATTAGGGTTTGGGTTGCTCTGTTCTTTTGTGGAAATGGAGGTAAACAAGTACATAGATCTGTGAATTTGGCGGGGATCGGGTTTTCAAGCTTTTTGGTTTTCCGCGGGAGTCTCGTATATTTTCACTTTTAGTATTGCTTATTTTTTTGGCATAATGGCAAAAAGGCCCATCACATGGGATTTATATGCATTTTGGTCCACAAAAAAAACAGTCTTTCAATTAAACTCATCCCCATGTCTTTTGTCTAAAATACGCTCCATAATATAATTCTTATCAATTCCACCCATTATTCTCTAACTTCCTTAATATTACACATTGACCCCGGATTTAAACAAATATATCACATTAACCCCCATTTTTTTTTTTCAGAAAATAATTTTTTTTCTTAAATGTTTTTTTTTTCCGGCCAGATTCCGGTCTCCGGCATTGAATTTTTTTTTATTTTTTTTTTTGAAAACTTTTTTTTTTCTTGAAATTTTTTTCCGGCCGGTCAACCACCGTTAACCGCCGGTCTCCGGTGTTGACTTTTTTTTTTTTTTTTTTGAATTTTTTTTTCTTAGAAAAAAAATATTTTATATATATTACTATATTGACTACTAAATTACTGTCTCAGACAGTAATATTATGAATATTATTTTCCCGAACAGTAATATTATTAATATTATTGTCTAAGACAGTTAAATTACTGTTGGAGACAGTAATTTAGCAGCCAAGGCAGTAATATTAATTAAAATAATTTTTTTTAAGAAAATAAATTTAAAAATAAATAAATCAATTAACAGTTAAATTACTGTCTCCGACAGTTAAATAACTGCATGAGACAGTAATTTAGCAACGAATACAGTAATATTAATTAAAAATATTTTTTTTAAGAATAAAAAAAGTCAATTAACAGTTAAATTACTGTCTCCGACAGTTAAATAACTGCTGGAGACAGTAATTTAGCAACGAATACAGTAATATTAATTAAAATATTTTTAAAAAAAATCAATTAACAGTTAAATTACTGTCTCCGACAGTTAAATAACTGCTGGAGACAGTAATTTAGTAGCAAAGACAATAATATTAATTAAAATATTTTTGAAGAAAAAAAAAATCAATTTACAATTAAATTACGGTCTCCGACAGTTAAATAACTGTCGGAGACAGTAATTTAGCAGCCATGACAGTAATATTAATTAAAATAGTTTTTTTAAGAAAAAACAAAATTATAAAAATAAATAAAAATAAATAAAAAAAAGTCAACGCCGGAGACCGCGGTCAACGGCAGTTGACCGGCCGGAAAAAAAAAATTCTGGGGAAAAAAAGTTTTTCAAAAAAAAAAAAAAAAAAAAAAAAAAAGTCAACGCCGGTCAACGGCGGCGACCAGCGGTCTCTGGTGGTGGCGGGTCAAAATTGGGGTCAAAATTGAAATTAGGGTTAAAAGTTAAAATTGGTTAATTGATGAAATTTAGCTAAATTGTGGTGTAAATCATGAAATTGGAGTTGAATTGTGTTTCAATGAATTGGGGGTAATTTTGGTATATATAAAGGGATTTTCCTTATTTGCAAATAAGTTCGAATGAGCTGGATTTATTTGAAAGACAAAAACGTTGGATGTTCATCTTTTAATTAAGTGCCCTTGTCATGGGCCTATTTGCCATTTACCTTTTTTTTTTATAAAAATAAAACTTTTTTTATTCCAATTTCCTAAATTTCGATTTTCAACATTCTGCATATGTTTGAATTGGAATAAGAAACATTTTATGAAAGGGGGCGACTATATAAAATTACTTAGGGGAAGACCAAATCTAATTTTCTACCAAATGAATTACCAAAAGACTATTATACCCTTATTAAAATACAATTCACAATTACAAAATTTCACAATTTTCTTTGTGCAAGACGACACAAGCAAAACTCATTTCATCTTTTTCACAAACCCATTTCACACAAATTTTTCAAAAAAAAATTAAAAATTCATCTTCTCCAAAAATCCTCTATACCCAAAACCTGATAATCTTACTAAAACATGCAAATAATAATATTATGGAGTCACGCGACATCAATATGGAGAATTCTATAGAAATGGTAGAAAACAAACTATGAATGAATGTATTTTTATAGTTAGGTGATCGATTTTTAAGTTTTCAAAAAAAAAATTCGCGCAGTCAAAATTCGACATATACATGTCGATTTTTGTCTCAAAATTCGATATTTAGATGTTGATTTTTTAGCAAAAAATCGACATCAACTCTAGATGTCGATTTTGGTGACAAAAATCGACATCTACATGTCGATTTTTCGTCAAAAAATCAACATCTAAATTTTTTGCCCAAACGACATCTAAATGTCGATTTTTCACCAAAAAATCAACATGTACATGTCGAATTTTCTTCCTTTTCTTCTTGTTCTTCATTGTCGTCGTCGTCGTCGTCTTCTTCTTCTTCTTCTTCTTCTTCTTCTTCTTCTTCTTCATGCTCTTCTTCTTCTCCTCATCCTTCTCCTCCTTCCTCCTTCCTCCTTCCTCCATCTTCTTCTTCTCTTCCTTTTCAAGCACCTGCGGTTGGCCGGTGGAAATTCTTCGGCGGCGGATGGGCGGCGGCAATTCTTCTCGCTTTGTGTTCTTCTCTTCTTCCGCTGGAGCATTCCCTCTCGTTTTTTTAATTCCTCTCTTTTTTTTTTCTTTTTGGTCTTGCAATATTAATTACGTCTACTTTGAATGAATAATATCAAAATCAATATCGGGGTTATATTTTTAATTTTCAGTCTTGTTCTTAGTAAATTTATTTATATTTTGGTCGTGCATCAAGTAAGGTCTTGCCCTTAGAAATTTTGAGATTGAAAATAGGGTCAGGTCAGCCTTTAAGAAATTTTGGAATTTTCGATCCCATTTTAATTTTGGGTTAATGTCAAAGAGACCCATGATAAGGGCAGTTAATTAAAAAATTGATATTCAATTTTTTTGTCTTTCAAATATTTCCAGTCCATTCTACACATAAGGAAAACCCTTTTATAAATACCAAAATTACCTTCAATTTCTTGAAACCCAATTCAACTCTAATTTCATGATTTACACCCCAATTTAGCCTAATTTCACCAATTAACCAATTTTGATCATAATTTTAATTTTGACCCCCACCACCGGAGACCGTCAGTCAGCCGCCGGAGACTGCCGGTAGGTCAACCGCCGTTGACCATCGGGTCTCCGGCGTTGACTTTTTTTTTTCCTTAAAAAATATATTTTAATTAATGTTACTGTCCTTGCTGCTAAATTACTGTCTCCAACAGTAATTCAACTGTCGGAGACTAATTTAACTGTTAATTGACTTTTTTTCCTTTTCTTTTTCTGAAATTTTGTTTTACCTTAAAAAAAATTATTTTAATTAATATTACTGTCTTGGCTGCTAAATTACTATCTCCAACAGTAATTTAACTATCTGAAACAGTAATATTACTGTCTGAGACAATAATTTTACTGTATTAATTAATTTTGTCGTCTTGACATGCAATTTTGCTGTCTTCGGCCGTAATATTACTGTTTCCGACTGTAATATTACTGTCTTCGACCATAATATTACTGTATCCGACCGTAATATTACTGTCTCATGCAATAATATTACTGTTTGGGACAGTAATATTAGTAATATTACTTTTTGGGAAAGTCATATTCATAATATTACTGTCCCAAACAGTAATATTACTGTCTGAAACAGTAATTTAGCAGTCAAGACAAGACAGTAATATTAACTAAATTTTTTTTTTAAGGAAAAAAAAAGTCAACGCCGAAATTTAGCCGGGAAAAAAAAATTCAAAAAAAAATATTTTCTGAAAAAAAAATTATTTTTTCAAAAAATTATAAAATGAAGGTTAATGTGATATATTTGTTTAAATTCGGGGTCAATGTGTAATATTGAGAAAGTTAGAGTGTAATGGATGGAATTGATAAAAAATATATTATAGAGGTATTTTAGACTAAATACATGGGGATGAGTTTATTCGAAAGACTATTTTTTGTGTAGAACAATGTGCATTTAAGTCTCTTTTCATATCCCTCTTTCTCCATTTGCCCTTTAATTTTACAAATAAGTTCTTATTTATTTTGCAACTATATTCATATTATACATTCACACACACACACACACACACACACATATATATATATATATATATATATATATATATATATATATATATATATATATATATATATATATATATATATATATATATATATATATATATATATATATATATATATATATATATATATATATATATATATATATATATATATATCAATTTATTATAACCGGGAGGAATGTAAGAACTAAAATGATTATTAGTAGCACATGAAAAGGCACTCACATAGTAGGGATTGCTAGCCAATTTAAAAAGCAAACCCTCAGTATAGAACGTTCTAGCAATCTGTGCATCTAATTGATCCATTGCTTGCATATAAAAAAATTTACTTAAAAGAGAATTACCAAACTTTCTCTTTGCAAAATCAAAAATGTTATGTCCACTTGAAGTACCACACAAAGGACTCATAGTTGTAGTACTCCTAGCTAGGCAAAGATACTTTTTTTGGTAATGAACTAAGAGTTCTTTTTTCCGCCTCCTCCAATTTTTTTCATTTCAAGGAGACTCCCACTTTCCCCTTTTTTGCAACTAGTAACCCATTGACGAGAAATTTTAAGTAAATGAGCCTTAACTCTGGTGTAACTCCCATATTTTACATCGTTAAAAAAATTACACATCCATTTGCAATTGCCACTGCCTTCCCCTGGCTTGCCCAGTTTAGTCACATGTCTTCACATTGGATTGATTTCTTCATCCTTATCTTTTGTATTGATAACACTATTAGAAGAAGAAGTCATAGCACAATTGAACTGAAATGAAAAAAGTAACAATCTGCATACACCAAGTCACCAAGTAATCTCTAGTCAGTAGCTCACATTTCAAGAAAATAAATTAGCATGCCTAATCCCATTACTCCATTAATAGTCCATTAACTCGCTGGAAAAAATTGGAAGAAAAAAATGGAGCAGGTTAGGCAAGCTTCATTCTTCAATGAACTTGAATTGAAAGACCAAGTAAAATTGGAGAAGAAACTAATCAATCAGTCTCATTTTCCACGAGGCTAAAGGTTCATCAGTAATAGAGTCCGAAGTAGCGTGATCAGATAAGCATATGCTCGTGTTAGGGCTCATAAAGGACCGACGCAAGGTGATCGAAGGGAGGTGTGGCGGCCAATTTTTTTCAACCATGGGCCGGTCCTTGGGCACGTAGTAGTCAGGAAATGCAGCAGCCGAGTAGGTGTAATCGGATCCGTACTCTCCGCCGAAAGTCCTGACCCCTCTCGTCCGTGTACCCGATGAATTAGGGGCACATCCTAATTCGGATTCACAAGTGTCTTCGGTTTTAATGTAGGTTCTTTGTGGAATAGTGATTACATGTTCATTTCGTTAAATAGGTTTTTACTTATGCAGCAATAGTTTTTTACAGTTTGTAAGGGGACTAAGTTCCCAAATTTTCAAAATCTTCAGGCGTGGTATTTTGCTAACTCTTGTCTGTTCAAAGGGACTTAGTTTCCAATTTTCAATCGAAATTAAATGGATATTAGCTTATATCAACTGTGCACAGTCTTCTAATTACAATTTATTGCGCATTTCATTGTTATGCAGTTCTGCATTATACATCAAACATATGCAAAACGTAATTAAATCACTGAATGCAATATGTACGTAATATTAAGTAACCATTAAATCACTGTACCTCAAAACATTTGCATAATCTAACTAAATTACTGAAGTTTAAACAATGTTTAGGCTAATACAAATATGAACATCTGCAAACATTACATGCGGAATCGAATTGGATACCAAATAACAAAATCATATCGAAGGAACATTACTGAAAGCGTTTGCCTATTTAGTTGAAAACACATACAAATAAGACTTACTAAGAAAAAGATATACATAAAACAAAGCAACCAAATACAACTGCAACAACATAAGTAACAAACCAACCATACGATTTAGTTATGGCATTTTCATTTTTCAAATCATTCATTAGCGCCATTTCAGACTCCAAATCTGATATTTTCTTCAATAAGTCCGGAACTTCCAAAGGAACTTGGGCTTGCAGAGCATTTATTCATTTGATTAATCCCAGTATTATTTGTTTCGATCTGTCGCACATTGGGGGATCACACCAATAGAAAGTTCCACGACCTTTGATCTGAAAATGTTATCAAATACATATTATTCAATCTGAGTAATGTTATTTATCTTGCACTTACATGTTTTTGAAATACATTTTAAATAAGATGCAGCATATTGTTTAGATGTTAACTGTTCATAAGTTTCCAATATTCCCCATCGAAATTACCTTTATACAGAAGGCATGGTGTTAAATTCAACACAAAGGCAAATAAAAGTTAGCAACATTCATCAAATTCAATAAAGTTTGACTAAAACACCATGTGATCATTTAAGATTCACAACATTTTTTAACTACACAGTACTTGCAAAAATACAGGGTATTATAAAATGGATTGTAATAGATTGATATTAATAAAAGAAGATAAAGTTACCCTTTGTGGGCAAGATAAAAACCGTCTCCCTGGGTTGTTTGGGGTCCAAGAAGTTTATAAACGAAGTTTGAAACCACACTCACAAATATCAGGTTGATTTGTGTCGAATCTATCGTGTTCATTGCTGCTCGATCCCCTTCTCGAACTACTACCACCAGTACTCATTCTACAAAAATACCGAAGAATGGAACCAAATTATGATGTATTTGCGTTTTATAGAGATTCAATTTAGGGCTACAGTAGAGAGGGGTAGGATATTGGGGATCTACAACTCGGTATTATGAAGAAAATAAAATGGATAATTGTATATTATAATTGAAGGGCATTTGAGACATTGGCCAAGTATTAATAATTTAGACCGAAATATCAACAAAACAAAACATCGTTTAATTGATCAAGGGGTTAGCAGATTCGTGACAATACCTCAAACCAAAAGCCGTGTATGGTATTCCTAATACTCAATTTAGTCCAAATATTACATATCGCATACACACTTATCTATCCAAACTACCCAACCAAAAATGCCATAAAAGTATAAAGTTCCAATACTTTGAAGATAGTGGAAAAAAGTCGTGAAGATATGAATGCAAAGGTAACTACTAAACAAAAAGAGTTTGAATTCTCCTTTCATTTGGCATATGGTTAGTGGATGGACGAATGGATTAATCTTAAACAACAAGATCTCTACAATTCTATTTGGAATTTCAAACCCTTAATTTCTTCAAAATCCCTACTTTCCACCATTAAAGTATTTTTTCTTGTTGGATTGAGGTTTTTGAAGTGAACCCATATGTAAAGGTGTTTTTGAACTTCGAACTCCTAATTTCTTCAAAATTCTCTATTTTCTTTTTGCTATGTGTTAACCTTTTCGAGGGAAAAAAAAATCAAAAGAATTGCTAAATGACCAATCTCAATAAAATTATATTGTTGTATAAAGTTTTTTTCCATCAAAACTGATTCCACTTGCTTGTGGTTTTTTTTATAAGTTTATTTTGAAGAACTAACAGAGAAAACTGATTTGCCATAAATAATTGTTGCCCTGATCCAAATGAGTGAAGCCATAAAAGAAATTCGAAATTTACATGGCTAAAAGATAGTTTGTAATGATGGCTATCTCCAATCATTATTCCAAGTTCTGTTCATTTGTTCATTCCCAGATTGTGTACCTTCAAATTTTTACTTCCTTTTGACAAGATTTTCAAATTTTATTGGTATTAACTAGATAATCGTGCAACATAAAACATTAAAGGAAAAAGAGGTAAATTTTCATGTTTGACAATCAGTTGAAGCACAAGAAAAACGAGAGGAAATGAACGGGGAAGTATTTGTTGGACGTTTAAAAATATGAAGATTTTATGTTTTTTGGACACAACTGTAAGAATAAGTAAAATTGAGGTTAAATAAAATATAGTGATAAGGATGGGGTTGAAAGGCTCATTTTAGACATGCTCACGTGTCCTACGCGTGTTTTTTCCGTCCAAACTAACTCCAAATTCCGACGGCGGACTGAAATTGTCAAAAAATGGTTTGTTTGAGGACTAAAATCATGGACACAATTATATAAGGACTAAAATCAATTTCGGTGTAAAGTATTAGGACAAAAAGCATAATTATTCCACTGGCCTTGCTAATTCGAGGGGCAGAATACAAAAGCAACTCCAATTGACCTCCCCTGGTTATGGTAAGAATTTCTTCTCCCGAACATCGTTTGATTTAACCCATTGAAAGTATTCTGAAATCGGAATTGTGATTCGCCATGGCGACGCACCCAGAACATTCCTCCCACACTTCCCCAAACAAACGCCTCAAAACCCTAGACCAATTCTCACCATCATTCCTTCCCGGAGGCAAATCCAAAATTGAAGAGGAAGTTGAGAATGAATCTGCCGATTGTTGCGGAATTTGTTTGTCGGAAGCTGGCAATGGCGGAATCATCAGAGGATACGTCGACAGCTGCGACCATTACTTCTGCTTCGTTTGCATCATGGAGTGGGCTAAGGTCGAATCAAAGTGTCCCTTTTGCAAGCGCCGTTTCTCCACCATCCGCCGCCCTCGTAAGCCGCCCGTATTCACCTCCGAGCGCCTCGTTCAGGTCCCGGTTCGCGATCAGGTTGTTTTGCTAGGGAAGATCTTCCTTTTCCCCCTTTCTGTTTTGTGCACATTTTGTCTTATTGATTTTATTCCTAATTGATTTGATTGTTTGACGACTTAACGAGCGCTGAAATTAACAATCTCGTATGAATTTTTGCGCTGAAATTAACAGTCATAATACCATTTTGAGCTAATAAGAATTGAAACATCAATCCAGAACAATTATTGTTCTAAGGGTCTATATGTATTTCACATACTAACTAGACAAAGAACATTTTGGCGTATTGAAGTCCTCCACCTCTTGGGAGGTGGGAGTTCGGTGGGTGGTATTCACCTCCTATGGTCTAGATACAATTATGCCTCTCTTTTGTACTGCATAAAATGCGATTCTTCTTTTCACCATCAGACTGATGCTACCCTGAGTTAGCTACATTAATTAGGAAAAGAAGCAAGTATTAGGTTGTTAGATTTTAGCTTATTACCTGGCCTTGACTAATAGAGTTGGTTCAAATTCTCCTCCTGAGAAAAAAGAAAGAGAAGTCCCTCCTCTCCTAATTTCCGGTTTGTTAATATTTGAATAAAAAAAATAAAAAAATCAAAGGTGGTTCCTAATGAGAATTTTATGCTGTAGAGCTTTCATGGACAGAATACATTGGTAAAACTTAAATAATGTATTAATTTAAATAAGAAACTGTCAAGGCATATTATGCAGCGACGTAACCATATAGTATTTAACTTTCTTATACCAGTAATAAAATGGGGACAGAAACAATTCATTTTTTCTTAATGTTTCTTCGGTCCATCCATTATGCAGGCTTATCATTATTCTGGAAACACAGCGAATGGTCCTTCAGATCCATATTCAGAAGTGAACTGCAGTGTTTGTCACAATACATCACACGAAAACCTCTTACTCTTATGTGATCTTTGCGATGCTGCTTCTCATACATACTGTGTTGGCCTAGGTGCAACTATTCCTGAAGGTGATTGGTTTTGCCATGACTGCAAACTTTTGAGGGATTACTCGACAATTGAATCCGATACTGATTCTAGCATTCAAATTAGTACCGACACTCTGAACGAACCCGCATCAGCTAATGAACATGTTTCTGCATATGATATTGTGCGAGGATGTGGTTCTTCTATATCTCAGAGATTTAAAAAACATGCATCTTCATATCCATGCCATTTGCCAAGTACTAGTACGACCAGAAATCTCGACCGACCAATTTCGGCAAGCTTAAAAATTGTTACAAAAATTGCAGCACAGCCAAACGCCAGAACTTTACAGCATTGCCGCGATCTGCATGATCGAATACGTCTATTGCGTGAAAATTGGAATGGCCTTCGAAATGGTAACTTGCACTTTTCTAGTCCATGTGAAGGTAAAATTTCGAATAAAAAATCTGAAGACCAATGTAGCTCATCTGCTGTTACAAAAGACGTTGGGGCACGCGAGATACACAAAGCTTGGAAGATGATGGATAAAGCAAAGTCAACCAGACAGGGTCGTCAAAGGTCTACTATCACTAGTGTAAGAAAACTGGGCGACATTAAAAATGCTGAGGATTTGAGCTGTAGACATCTATTACCAGATAGTAGCCAACAAAATGGATCAAAGAATGTTGGAAGTAATGTACAAGGAAATAATTGCGATCATTCTACGGAAAATAATTACTACAAACAAGCATATTCGGTGTCTGGAAAACAAAAGTGGATAAGCCATTCAAGTGAGAAACTACCAGGTGAAAAATCAATTAAAGGGCCTGCTTTGTTGAGTTCGTCAGTCGTCTCAGAACCAGTTGTTTCGAATGTAGATCGTGTTAAAGGGGTCGAGCATACATCTTCTTCTCATAGCAAGGTAAATAATACCAAGGAGAAAAGTGAGTTGAAGAAAATTTGTGTTGACAGAAAGGAATATGATGATGCCAAGAGCGAGATTCAATCACTCGTAAAGCTCAACTTGAAACTTCAAACTAAAGAGGAGAAATTAGGTATGCTGATCTATACATTCTGCACTTATATTCATCTCCAGATGCTTAATATTTACTAAAATACCCCACTTCTCTATTATCTAGTACTCTTAGCTCTGACTTGTTATTGTTTCCATTTACGGTTCCAAAAATTTCTATTTCCTGAAACTGAAAGAGAAACATAATTTTTAGGTTAATTAATTAAACACCTGAATTCCAAAGCCTTTTATTTTCTGTTGTTTACGTTATCTTTTATGAAATTTAATTTGGGAAGAAGTAATCATTAATCAATTCCATATCATATGCCCGTCTCTATCTGTAATCTTGATTTTTTCATACTAAAACTTATTTCTTGAGCAAGGCTTATGTCTGGCAGATTCTCTTTTACTCTCCTGAACTTACTGTTTATTAATTTTTTTTTTTTGAACATCAGTCGCTTAAGAATTAACTATTCAAGTAGAACACATATGACTTTGTTTTTCGGTCATTTATAATATGGTTGAAGAACATATAAGATGTTGTTTAAATTATTAGGGTAAATTGCACTACCTTCTCATGAGATTGTCTAATTACTTGTCTAACCGCACTTAAGGTATGATTTGTGTTAACGCTTAACCCCTTCAAATCGTAAAGCTTTTCCCTGAATTACACCGACCTCCTCTAATTTTATGTCTAATTACACAAGGATCCGCTCATGTTTGAAAAATAATACTCAAACCTCCTTATTGTTTCATTAGTAAACAACTCAACCTAAACTCAGTATAGAAGTATTCTCACCAAAATATGTATGTTGTAGGAGTGGTTCGATCTTCATAACCTAAACGATCGCCATCCTTTTCATCTTAATCCCATTTTTGAAAGAATAATCTAGTCATTTTTTATGACATCATCAACTTGTTTGGGGTTTCGTTTTTCCTTCGAAAACTGATGGGATCTAGATGTAATTAGAGCTAACCTAGAGGGAGGGTAGTGTAACTTATCCAATGAAAGATATATCTAGGTGATAGGTAAAATTATCATTTATTTAGTTTGAGTTGAATTTTTAACCTAAATCGAATCTCAAAAATGGTTTGTGTAAATTTTCAAACTTGAGGGAGACTAACTATATTACACATTAGGTGATGATGGTGTAATTTACCCTGAATATTTAGAATTTAAATGAACGAATTTTTGGTATCTGGATTTGCCACGAGAGTCACAGGTATATGAAATTACATTAGCTTTATGGTCTATGATATAGTTGAAGATTGTTTGTGTGCACAATTCGATAATGTAGTTTTAACTGTTTGTATTCTCTCCAGGAATCGATGCATTTAAGGAAGTAGCAAGGCAAGCAACGCATTCTATATTAGCGGCGTGTGGTTTGGAACAACCAAAGCCAGGTTCTTGTTCAATCCCAGGTTTCCTATGCTCCCATCCCAATGAAAATCGGCAGCTCCATAAATCCAGCTTAATGCCTAATTCTTGCAGAGAGTGTTTCTACGTATTTGTGAAGGACATGGTTAATACTGTTGTTATGTTTCACAAGACAAGGAGTCGGGAAAAAACATGATTTTCACATTGAGCGCTGGTTATGGATAATTTGTACGGTAGAATAGTTTATTGATCCTAATTGTATTATGCCCATCTTGTATAGAGAGAGAAATTGTGAAAGTTTACCCGCTAAATGTTATTATTCTTATGAAATATAATGCTATTTTCTTAAATAATGTGTATATCTCACGGAGTCTCTGAACATTTTTGTAGTTGTTTGCAGATTAACATGAGATCGTGTTTACTGAATGTGCACGCTTTAATCATTTGCATTTTCTGATCATTGAGGCACATCATTGCTATTCATTTACTAAACAATCTGCAGCTTCATTTACTTGTCGATAACAATAGTTTAAAGTGGCTTCTTCAAAGTCGAGCACTATCTTCCAGAATTCGTCTATTCGTAGTATTCTGTTGCCAGGTATTTGGATCGTATCCGAATCTGATTTAAGTTTATATATTTTTATCCTGGAAGACAAATTGATTCATGGCCTTCCACAATAACCAAAATAAGTATGCTATTTGTTACTGAAATTATGGTTGATTATTAAATCTATGAATAAGAATCCAGAAATTACAACCATTAGACTGATCCTTGAATGGAACTTTGTCCCATATATATTGTAGAGCCTTACTGTCTGTAAACAAATGGTCACATATTTCTGGTTCAAGGATACATAAGGAACATGTATTAATATTATTATGATCTAAGCATTTTCTTTGATATGAAAAAATAGTTAATAGGAAGACTGTTGCCACCAGAATTGTTTTTTGCTGGGTGCAGCATTACTTGTTTTCCAAATGACTATCCAATATAACGGGTTGGTTCTGATACTATTTGTAACTCTCGACTTCTGGGCACTTACTGATCTGGGTTTTGAGGGTTTCCCATTCACATTGTCGAATAATGTGAAGGATTCAGACACAATTGTTGTCGGAACCGATAAGTGTTTGTGCAAACAGTGAATGGCGAGAACCTTTTTCCCCACGCTCTAGTTTTACACCTTGACTTCCAAGAATCAGATCATTGTGCTATCAAGCTCGAATTATTCCCGTCATAAAGTAAAACGGCTATTTATATTCGAGGCAATGTGGCTAAGGAAGGAGGAATGTGAAGATATTATTCCGTGAAAATGGGAGGGTTACACCGGCTCAAATACAATCGACGAGGTCCTTGTCGTATAGCCTTGTTTAACTGGAAGAAATCTATACCCAATCAGCCCCTTACAGACATGGATGGAAGCAATTCAGAATAAACTCCAAGATTTACATATGGAATTTCAATATGAGTCTAAGGCTGTCGAAATTTGAGAACATAAGGCTAGGCTGGAGCATTATTACTAAGAGAATCATACCTACTGGAGCCAACGTGGCAAAGACAACATAGCAAAGTGCAGTGAATTCAAGAAGCATACAAGAATACAACATATTTTCATGCTAAAGCGTCTGTCAGGAACTAAATTAATCATTTCGGTAAAATCAGGGACGACTTTGGGGTTTTGAAGGAGAGGAGGGAATATATTGAGGCAGTTATTTCGAAATATTTTCAGTTATTGATGCCGCTGCAACACCGGATCTGTTGAAGTGGGCAGCGAAGCTAGCCATCCTCGTTTCGTCTTTGATTGAATCACGTTTCGAGAAGTAACTATTAAGTTTATCGATTAATAATTGTAATTACATGTAAATAAATACATGTTTAATTGATGATGATTATGTGTTTTAAAAATTAATATCATTAATTTAATGTATGATTATGAGCATGTTAGATTTATTTATTTCATTTCAAAAATTAATACATATATGCATGCTCATGTGTTGAATTTATTTTCGAATTAAAATTTTAGCATGTATGTTGGTGATTTGAAGAAACGAGGGATGTAGCTAATTAATATTAGCTAATTAATATTGGGGTTTTTGTGAATAAGTCCCCAACCAAACATGTTTATTATTCTAGGTTTAGGGGCTATATCTCTTTCACCAATAAGCCCATCCCTTTAATATTTATTATAAATAAAGGAAATATTCATGTATATGCCAATATTACCCCTCAACCATTTATACCCAATTCTTAATTGTAACCCCAATTTAATCAATTTTGTTTACAAAAATCCAATTTTTACCACAAAATTTCAATTTTGAATTTTTTTAGCATACTTTAATATGCTCCAATTTCATCATTAATTTAATCTCAATTTGACCCCAAATTTCACTTATTATTCAATTTTGACCCAAAACTTTTTTTTTTCAAAAACATTTTTTGCCGCCGGATTCTGGCGTTGACCGGCGGTCAACGCCGGTCTCCGACGTTGACTTTTAAAAAAAACAAAAAAAAAAAATTCCTTTCGGATTTTTTCGCCGGTTTCCGGCGTTGACTTTTTCTTTTTCTTTTTTCTTTTCTTTTCTTCCGGATTTTTTCGCCGGTTTCCGGCGGTCTCCGACGTTGACTTTTTTTAGTTTTTTTTTAAGTTTTTTTTTTTTTTTTTTTTTTTTTTTTTTTTTTTTTTTACGTCCGCCGCTAAACGTTGACCGTAATTGTGCTGTCACTGCAGTAAATTAACGTAATTGTACTGTCGTTGACAATACATTTATGTAATTGTGCTGCCGTTGACAGTAAATTAATGTAATATTATTATTTTTTATTTTTTGTTGTTTTTTTTATTTTGTTTGATTTGTTGACAAGTCAACGTAATTATATTACTGTCGTTGACAGTAAAATAACTGTAAACACAATAATATAGTGTACTGTCAACAACATCAATATTATTATTTTTTTGGGTTTTTTGTTTTGTTTGAGTTATTCACGGAGTAACGTAATAATATTACTGTCTATTATTGTAATATTACTGTAAACACAATAATATTACTGTGGTTGACGATAATATTACTGTTGTTATAGTAATATTGCTGTCAACCACATCAATATTATTATTTTGTTTGGATTTTTTGTTTGTTTGAGTTATTCACGGAGTAACGTAATAATATTACTGTCTATTATTGTAATATTACTGTGGTTGACGGTAATATTACTGTTGTTATAGTAATATTACTGTCACTCACAGTAATATTAATTGTTTTGGTTTTTTATTATGTTTACATTTGTTGAACGGTCAACGTAGTAATATTACTCTATTACACAATAATAATGAGTTTTGTTGTGTTAATATTACTGTGCTAGAGATTAATATAGCAATATTACTGTGTTAAACTGTAGTTTAGTTAATTTTACTGTGTTTAGCAATAAGATAGTTAATATAACTGTCAATCACAACAATATTGTTCTTTAAACGAAACAAAAAAGTTAAAGAAAGAAAGAAAAGAAGAAAAAAAAAAAATCGAAAAAGTCAACGCCGGAGACCGGCGAAAAAATCCGGAGGAAAAAAAAAATTGAAAAGTCAACGCCAGAGACCGGTGGGAAAAAAAAATTTGAGAATTTTTTTTTTTTTGAAAAAAAAAAGTTTTGGGTCAAAATTTAATAATTTGGGGTCAAATTGAGGTTAAATAAAATTAAGGATGAAATTGGAGCATATTAAAGTATGAGGGGTTATTTTAGTCCTTTATAAAAATCTGGACCATGTGTGGACTTATTGGTAAATGAGTTTTTTGTCTGGATCTCTTTATGAATAAGTACCCATTGATGGGCTTATTTGTAAAGACCCCATTAATATTTTTATAGTATGTGTGTATGTTCGTATAAAGCATGTTTATATGAAAAATAATTTGTTTTCCGTTGTGTAGACGTGCTCAATTCCCAACAGTTTGATCATTGTCGAGTGTAGAAATTACACTAAATACGTTTGCTTCTACGGTGATTTTTGTTCAGATTGATTTATATTTTGTGGCAACGAAGTGTGTGTTTTATATGTGCAAAACGAAAATTCTACATCAAATTTGGAAGAAAGAGGGGATGTTTGGTTTCATTTCCAAACCCACTTTCCAGTTTTATACTATTCATAAAACCGAGATCATGTTTGTTTCACAATTTTATCCAGAAATTCCCATTTTTTCTTATCAAATTTCTATTGAAAATACACTATTCATACTTTTTTCAATTTTCAAACCTACTAAAACCTACTACTAACCTATATATTTTATTCCAACAACTCATTTCTCTCTCCTCATTAATATTCACACTCTCTCTCCTCTCTCCTCATTAATATTTACACTCTCTTTCCTCACAATTTCTCTATCTACTACTAAAAATAAAATAATAATAATAATAATAATAATAATAATAATAATAATAATAATAATAATAATAATAATAATAATAATAATAATAATAATAAAAATAATAATAATAATAAAAATAATAATAATAATAATAATAATAATAATAATAATAATAATAATAATAATAATAATAATAATAATAATAATAATAATAATAATAATAATAATCATCATCATCATCACTATCATTATCATTAATCATTATATTCTACTTTTGCACGTACTTTCGTAGAGAAAATTCACCACAACCAAACATATTCTCATTTCTACACCTACATAAAACTAAAAATACACCTTCATCCAAACATATTCCCATTTTCTACACAAAAACCAATAATCTACTTTTTCCATCAGAAATTTTGAAAACTAGAAATTCGTTTTGGAAACATAACCAAACATCCCCAGAATCTCCCAGCAGTTTTAACATCCACGATTTATATCATATATCTCTCACCCGAAACCCCAAATAAGCCGATTCTAACAGAATTGGAAAACTATCTCAAAAGAGTACATAACATGGTCAAAATCGGGTAACAAATCCTACTGAAGAAAAGATGCAAATTTGGCCAGTTTATGTTCCTTCTTATTATTATTGAATTTGAATTGAATGATCGATTAATAATTAGAACTGTGGGAGAAGAACCTTCGAGCCAATTTACTAGATAAATGTTTTATTTGGCATGTGGTATCAGAATATATGTGTATCCTTAGATAATTATTCAAATTGTATTAATGCGGAAGCAAGTTATAATTAATCTAGAATCAGGTTAAAAATTGAAATTATTTGCAAGTATAATGGAGGGGTTTTGGGTGATCAATGAACACACAGTGGAAAATTAAATCCTAGACTTGTTTTTATTTGATAAATTTCGTGTTTAATGTGTTTTCTTACATAATTAATTCATTTTCATAATTTATGAGTTAATCAACCAATCCCCATTTGAGCCGGCTGTATAGGATTGTAAATAGCACGAACTTAATACTTAGAATTAGAAAATTGAATTCTTCCATGTGGGTTCAACATTGGACTCTTCTA